AAGAAAATTATTTTATTTTGTAGTTGAAATTTTTTATCATATCAAATTTAATTCGACAATAAATACTTCAAAAATATTAAAAATAAATAATTTTAATTGACTGTATACAGAAAGCTGGTTACGCCACTTTTTATTTGATAAAGAGAATTTGTTTTCAATTTTTGAGGGTAATATCTTCAACTAAATACGAATTGTAATCATATGACATATCGTTGAAAAAATAGGTCAAGTGAGGGTTGTGTTAATTTTAAAGTTACTTTTTTCGACTTAAAAAAAGCAAAAAAAAAATTTAATGAGTTTAACCATATTCTATGTCAATTTAATTATATAATATTGATTATATCAGTGTATTCCCCTTCTAAGGTTTTTAAAATAAAATAAAATACAAAACCCAGAATTATAACACAATAAAATTTTTTTTTTGAAAATGCATATATTAAAGGTATTTTGTAATATTTTTTTTAATTTTTAAAAATGAAGTTTTTTTTTTAATTTTAGTCTCTGATAGGTTCATTAATATTAAAATCGGATTATTTTTGACATAATAGCATTGAAATCGAACCAGTGAGAGCTGAGAACTTTCATGAACAAACATAAAAAACCCAACACGGGGGGTGGGGTCGCGGCACAGTAGTGACGTAGCATATTTGGATCAAATATAATGATATCTGACAGTGATTAAAATCACTATAAAAAAAAACGCTTTGATGCAAATCTTTAGATACTGTTTAATTTTAAAAAAATTGGTGGATTATTACAAAAGCTACATGATCTGCTAGTTCCTCATTAATATCCTGATTAAGATAAAGTATTTCGAATGAAAAAAGGATTATTAAAAAATATTATTTCTCATAAAAAATTGTGTTGACACTTTTCAATAAGTTCACATTATCATTTTATCATCGAAGCTTAAAGTATATTTTTGAATACAATAACCATTTTTACCAAGAAAAAAATCTATATTTAAATTTTTTTTTTTTATATTAAGTACATAAAAAGTACATATATATATATATAAAAGTATATATATAAAGTATATCACTAAGTACATTATTACTAATTAGTTGAAACTATAGGATATAACTATAAAAAATATAGTTCTGAACATTTTAATTGTATAATCTGTTTCAACACTAAGAGTTTCATAAAAATGATAAATTTTTCTATTGAAAGGATTTATTACGATATAAATACAAATAATATAAAAAGTGTTACTAAAGAAATGTTAAGCTTCTTTTATAAATTTACTGTTATAGTAATTATATAAGTTTCTGATCATATATCAATCTAAACAAAATCATTATTCTTTTGTTATAAAATTTTGTGATATCAATTTTAAACTTGCAATTTAACTAAAAAAGGTAAAAATTCAACAATTTTAGATTTTAAACTTTCATAAAAATCAACTTAAAGGACCAAAAATAGGTTAAATACGGAATTTTCAATCATAATTTTGCATGGAATATATTTAACATATTAAAAATCATAATAAATTTTTAAAAGTAAATACTCGTTTTTATAAATTAATAATAATGACAAAAAAAGAGGAAAATGGAAAAATGTAATTTCAGTTATTCAATTTCAATTTGATAAGAATCCAAGGTATTTAAAATTATTTTCCATCTCAAAAAGAATTAAGAAAAAAATGCAAAAAAGAGCCATTTGACGAAAGTATCCTTCAAACGTCTTATCCCGAGCGTGAAACACTGAAGTGTGAATGACTCAACAACCGTAAATCACCAATATATTCGTCTAAAAGAATAATTTAAGCTAGTTAGAAAATTCAAAATCGTTTCTTTTAACGTAGGAGGCAAAAAGTGTAAAAATAAGTTTAAATTTATATTCAATTAAGTTAGATTCTTGTAAATTTTATAAAATTGATGGACTCATTACTATGGCAAACCCTTGTAAGGTATTTCAATAAATGTTATGGCAATTTTAAGTAAAATAATTGAAAAAATTAAAAAAATTAGCGGTTTTTAAATTTGTAATTTGTTTGGAGGTTTCCTCCATTTACGGAGAACAAGGTAAATTTTTTTTAATTTTTGAGAGTAATGTCTTCGACTAGATACGATTTGTGATCTTTTGACTTATCATTGAAAGAAATCGGTTCGGTGAGAGCTGAGAAAAAGTGGTAACAGACACAAAAAAAAAAAACACATTATAGTAAAACCAATACCTTCTCAGCTTCGCATCGAAGCTAAAAATTTATATGCATGGGTAATTTAAAAAAAAAATTAAATGGAAGATTATCTTTAGCTTATTTTATAAAAAAATTGTATGGTTTAGTAACTCTAAAAAAATATAGTAGTTTTAATTTTCTTTAGTAAAAAAATTGATTTTTTTTTTCAAATTCTTAATGCAGTTTCTTCAATTAGATATAATTCGGATTCTTTTGGAATATAGATCAGCAAAATCGAATCAATGAGTGCTGAGAATTTTTATGAATGTGTATAAAAAAAATTCAAATAAAAACTTATACAATTATCTATAAAAATACATTTACAATTATCCACTTCATCTTGTATAGTTTTATAAAGTCCTATATTCAAAAATTTCTCTCATAGTCTTTTGATATAAGTTTGGTAACTGATAGTATGCAATAAAATATTTTTTTCTAATTTTCTTATTTTATGTATGAAAGGTTTATTCGTTGACACCTCACTCAATATTAATAAAAGAATATAGTTAAGAATACAGATATAAATAAAAATCATTTTCAATGTCTTTAAAATTACATTTTCCGAAAATATTAATACTTCTTCATTTAATTTATCGATATTTTCACAAACAATTCTATCGAAATCGGTACATATAGGAGAAAAAGGGAAACATTGTGACATAAAAAATGACATCAAAAGGGTTTCGTAATAACATTACAAAGTTAAATTAGTTCCTTAAATATTGAAATATTTTAAAAATATTTTAATTTTGGTAATAGATTTTTAAGGATAAAATAGAGAAAAAGGGTGTAACTATATTTCCTAACTTTGTATGACGAATTTACGGGAATACCCGAAAAATCCAGTGGACTTAAAAGATTTTCTTTGGTTACCTTTATTACATTGTAGACGGAATGACAATAGAACAACTAAAGTATGTAGCTTGAAGATTATTAAACACCATTTTTTATTAATATACGCCTTTCAATGACAAATAAATATACTTTTATAGAAGAATACAAAGAAGTCGAAACGTGGTTTTAAATTTAATGTAAATATTATTGAAAAAATGTCGATAATTACTGAATTTTGAAGATGTTTTTGTTAAAAATTACCGATAAAAGTTTAGCAATCTGTTTTAGATTTATCATTTAAGTAGGTATTAAAGGTAAAATTACGTTATTTCAAGTTACTTAAAGTTTGTTGTCCTTTTAAATAGCAACACGGCTTATTATTGATCCTTTAATATTAATTATACATAGTAAATACACACAAAGTTGATAATAAATTAATTTAATTTTCCCGTTTATTAGATACACTTTCGTACTTTATATTGATATTTCATTACTCTTGTATTAAAAGTATGGTATCGATACTCTGCATATAAAAACTATTAGTTAATTTAAATTAACAAAAGTAAATAAACAGTAGAGTTTATTCTTTACAATATACACACAAAAAGATGTAGAAATTGTAAAATTATTATTATGATATTGGTTATACATTGCAATCATTTTCAATTTTTCTAATATAAAATTATATTATCATTTTTAAATTTTAAGCTTCACTCATAGTTCAAATTTTATACATAATTAAATCATTTACTTTTACCAAAACAAATTTTAAAGAAAATCTTTTTTACTTAATTAATAATAAAAAGTTTTTTCTATTTTTACTTATAAGTATTTAGATTATTACATAATTTCCTTTAAGGACTCATTGTTTACCACTGATTCCTCGAATACGACACAATAATACAATTTACTTTTTAAAGCAAAAAGTTGTTTACTTGAAAATATCGTAAAGTGTCGACAACTAAAAACATACAAATTAAATTTATTTGTTTGCTTTCCTCTATGAAAAATGACCATACTATTCCTTGTTTTTCATAGGTCCGATTTATTAAGTTGCTTTTACAATTGACTTACATTAAATAAATGTATAGTTTTATGTTATAATTTTTGGTTATATTTATAGAGTATTTGCAGAGATGTATTTTTATTTGCGTTTATCTTCTAAAATGTACGTCTATATCTATATAAATATAGTTTAATGATTTATCAAAACATCGTATTGTCATTTATTTGAAATCAAATAGACTAAATATCGTTAATTAAAAAATATATATTTTGTTAAAAAAACAAAACGTTTATAGGAAATTTGAAATAAATATCTAAAATTCAATTTTTAATGAATGTATAAAGTTTTTTTAAAAAAATGTAGAAAAACACAAGAGTTTAATCACCAGTTCTTATATTATTTTCGCTATATCTCTCTTCATCTATTCAAAAGTAACTGCGCTTTCATATTATTTCCACTTAGGAAATACTATTTGTTTGGTATAATAACAATGTTATAAACAATTTTGTACCTGCTTGAATAATTTTATTTATAATGCTATAAATTTGTATTTGCCAACATTGCTGCTGAGCAATACTCATATAATTGTCCATTTAAATTCAAAATGTCTTACTGGAATATCGCTCTAGAATTCTGTTTTTATTAGTTTTATTTTCTTTCTTGTTTTAAACTAAGTTAACATAATCACCAATGACCCTAATTCCAACGTGTAAATTATGTAACTTTTTCAGACACTAAAAATATGTAATAGTCAATTTTAAATAATCCTTTTTCTGGTTAGTAAAGTTTTGTAATAGTTTTTATTATTTTCCTCAGCTATATTAATTGTGACATATTGGTGTACACTATTTAAGGAATATACATTGAGAGTAAAATATAACGCACGATTAAAATGTATTCTAAAATGGCGTGATTTACGATCTTTTGAAAATTAATATCTATTTCTTAACAATTTTTAACAAACACTTTAATTCTTACCTCTTTGACACCGATGTCAGTCTCCATGATAATCCCTTCGTCGGTGACATCTGTGGCATAATAATGACTGAATGGTGCTCCCGGCAAAGGAACAGGCTCCACATGACCTGTTTTACCATGATAACGCAACAAGTAAGCCGTCCAACAAACGTACCTGAAATTGAATATACATTTATTTTATAATCATAATATTTGGACGTATAGTAACTTAGAATACAAGATGTAATTGTCAAATAATTCATAGGCGATAACAATGAATAAATAAACAGTGCAGCACATTTATGGAATACAAATGTGGTGAATGAATTATTCTTATAATAATTTTACCGAAATTTGTAGAAAGCAAATCACTTGTTTGTCAAGAAGATATGCAAATATTTTAAATTGAATTTCGGATACAAAAACTAATTTAATCTAAAAATTAATTAACGCATATACAACATGTATATGTTTATATTATGCAGTCTAGTCTTAAGTTCTATCGCTACTTTTGTTCCTAATGTACTGTATGCATTTGTAATTATCTTACTAATTTCAATTTTCAAACCTGAAAATACGATCATTGTTTTTTATCTAAAAACAACAAGTATTTTCTTTAAGTATAAAAACTTTGCTTTTAATATTACTGACGAGAAAAAAAATCTTGGACTTCACCTTTTTTTATTTATTTTTCACAATATTTTTTAATTTTTCAATTAACCCGTGCGTTTAATCGCCGTCAAAGAACAACATCGTATTTCAAGGAATTTTTTTAACCATTATCTGTATATTTTTGTTTCTAAAGAAATGTTCAACTTTTTTATTTTTTTGTCTCGACGATGTCATACTGTAAGTCGCGGTTTCTATTCCGTACCCATATCGTGCAACTTTTTTTCATATGATTTTCAATACACTTTCGAAGATCGGCCGTCAATCTCCAGCGGCCCTGTCTTGTTAGATGCGTGTTATTAATCAGTATCTTGTTTTCAGATTACATTCAAAATATTAACAACTTCCAAATTACTAGTTTAAAATTTATAATCGATCAGTCATTTTCTTAGTTAGATCATTTTGTATAAATATATAAACTTATATAAACTAGTTATATATGAATAATACAATTTAAAAAGATAAATTCATTTCCTTTATAAGGGATAGACCTAAAAAAATTAACGACTTATTAATCAAGAAATAAATAAAAAATCTCAAAATTAATATTAATTTATAATAAATCCAGATGTCAACAAAAAATCAATCGCTCTGTATAAAATCAAATATTCCTCGTAAAAGAAAATATACAAAATAATAATTTTTTTTAATGTACACTAAGTACTGGTGCTTTTCGCATCATTATTGCAAGATTTTCAACCAACTAACGATGGGCTTTTTTTTAGAAACATTAGCACTTCACTGTGTAATAGTTCATTTCCTCTTTATTTTTTCATTTTATCAGAAATTTACCATTCATCGATATATTATTGTCAAACTTTAATTAAAATAGAACTCAATATTTGAAAATTGTTAAATTAATAAAATAGATTTCACTTTTTGAATATTTTATCTTGTTTATTCAAGATTTGCTTTCTAAAAATGTTAAGATGTTTGGCATATTTAGTTTAAGGCCAATTTTACAATGAAAAACAAATATTTAATAACAAAAAATATATTTTAATTAAAATTTGTTTAAAACTACTAATACATGATAGATATAAATTTTTATTTAAAAAAATGAATATTATATTTTACAAAAAATTTTAATTTACTTAAAAATATGTATTTATAAAATTCATAGTTTGAGATTGAAACATGAAAGAAGAAACTAAAAATATTTTTAAATGAAATAGGAATTTCATTTATAAAAAAAATGAAAATAATTTAAAAATATATAAATTATTTATTTAAAAGTATAGAAATTTAGTAATACATTACAAAGATATTCAATTTTCTCTAAATTAACTATTATTTAGTTATTTTATTCGGCGTTTTAAGTTTCTTATAATCTTATAAATTTTGCGCCAGGACATAATGATATATTGTTTTGCCATATGTCGTAACACAGTAAAGAAAATGATAAAAGGTAAATGTGCAACTATGTGTACGAAGATGAATATGAGGAGGTGGTGCCTGCTGTCTAGGTATTCACGTGCGTGTTGTCGTACAGCAGTCACCGTGCTCGGCTGACACTCCGGGTTAGCTGTGGGTGTCGAAAAGCTGTTGTTATAGGAAGGGAGAATAAGAGTAACACCTAGGTATGAGGTGCAGACGAAGTGCAAGACACAAATACTTGGGGTATAGGAGAGGACAATGAAGTACGAGGTGCAGACGAAGTGCAAGACACAAGTACTCTGAAATGTCGAGGAAAAGAGTATATAGGTTAGAAAAGGAATAAACAAAGACTTTACTTTAAACAGTAAGCCGGACAGCGACAACCGAGTACTGAGACTGATGAATGACACAAGGCACTGGAGTCGACTGACCACGATGGTCAGGTCTATTGGGTTTTTATAATAATTACACCTATTGCCGATTTGGCAATAAATATTATTTGTTAATTCACCAGTCTCAGGCAGCACATGTGCTGTCTGTATTTTATTAAAATAATTCTCACGATTATGAAAACGTGACACCATCACACATACTTGAAATTAAATTTAATCATTTTTGTCAATATGGTTTTTTACATTATTTAATTTGCTTGAAGTATTATTATGTGTTATTAAAGAAGTCTGCAAAATAAAAGAATATTTTCATTTTTGTTGTTATTTTCTGATTTTCTAGAAAATAAAACTGTTTTATTTTTATATAATATTGAGCTCAATGACAAAAACCAAATGTTAATTTTAATATTTAAATTTCAAAATTATTCTGCTGAAAAATCTGATTTTTTTTATTGCAATATTTTAGCTTCGATGCGAAGCTGAGAAGGTATTGGTTTTACTAAGATGTGTTTTTTTTTTTTTTTT